GGAGGAGGAGGAGGAGGAGGAGGGGAAGGAGGGAGAAGATGAGGAAGAGCTCAAAAGTAGAGTAAGAAAGATCCAGGTAAAAATACAGGGGAAAGGGTATGTTGAGTGAAAAAAAGATGTTTTTTAAGGAGGGGGGGGGGGGGTGGTGGTGAAAAGACTAAATGTTGCAGGGATATCAAAGAAATAGGAAAGAAAAAAAGGAGGAATGGTTGAAAGGGAAACGTGAACCAGCTTTTTTGTATGTTTGCTTTACTGAAAATTCTTTGTACTTATATTATATTAAAATATAAGAAATCATAAAATTCAATAAGAATTTAGAAATTAAGTAAAAACCAAATAGGAAAGTAAATAGAGGCAAACCAGAATACGGTATACCACTATAGCTTCAACCCCCCCCCTCCCCCCTCTGAAAAAATTGTAACATCTACGTTTTCACAAACCTGAATGATATTGCTTTATTGGACCTAAATCTCTTTCTGCGGATTTTTTTTTTCTCAGTGAATATGTAATGTTTAATTTTCTAAGCCTGATTCGTTTTCAGAGTATCTTGGGCAAACTGAAATAGATTTGACCTAATGAATACATCTTTAAAAAAAACCATGAAGTGCACCCTGTATCAAGCCTCCCACTCACCCCCCCCCCCCCCACTTTTTTTTCTCCTCTCTGAAAAAGGGGAAGCAACCCTTGCCATGGTCACGAGATTTTACGGAATTGACCCCTGTCTCAATGAAGCAATTAAAGATCAATTAAACAGAGGTAGTCACAGTGTGTGCACAATATAGAACAAGGCCTTGAAATTTGCACCTGCGTTAGTTAGTCAATCGATCGTTAATTAAAAATTGTATCTATTATAAGTAGATCACAAAAGTACAGAAATTCTCGTTTTCTGTAATAAAGTGTTAAGTGACAGTTCTGTAGTAGAGAAACTACCGCATGGCAAGAACAAACGTTGAACTAGAATCTTTATTCCCTATAAAAAGCTCAGATCACCACCACTGCCTGTAAGTTACCGCTGATTTTCATCAAAATACAACGCGGGTGGTTGGCAGGTGCTCTGGACTCTGGTGTGGTTTGCTTCTTCTTTCCTATCAAACATCTATCGTCCTTATCTCCCCTTCTTATTTTTTATGTTTGTTACTCTTTTGAAACGCCTCTAATCTTCTGGCGCTCATGTGACCTTATGCAGTTGCGAGTGCCGTAAAACCTCTACTAAAACTAAACACGATACAACATCCCGATACTTTACAATCACCAAAAACAGTAGCAGCATAGTTTGGACAAAAGTAATTTTACCGTGATTCTGGCTTCGATGATGATGGAGATGATAGTAGGCTACTGGTAATAATTATGATAAAACTACGACGTACAAAAACAACAATTATTGTTTTAAAAAAAATTGTAATACTGGTCGTTATAGTGAAAAACCGCACAGACATTAACATTAATAATAATAATAATAATAATAATAATAATAATAATAATAATAATAATAATGATAATAATAATAATAATAATAATAATAATACTTATAATAATAATAATAATAATAACAATAATGGAAGTATTTATGACAATATTAATGATAATATTAATGATAATGATAGTAATAATGATAATGAGAAGAAGAAAAAGAAGAAGAAGAAGAAGAAGAAGAAGAAGAAGAAGAAGAAGAAGAAGAAGAAGAAGAAGAAGAAGAAGAAGAAGAAGAAGAAGAAGAAGAAGAAGAAGAAGAAGAAGAAGAAGAAGAAGAAGAAGAAGAAGAAGAAGAAGAAGAAGAAGAAGAAGAAGAAGAAGAAGAAGAAGAAGAAGAAGAAGAAGAAGAAGAAGAAGAAGAAGAAGAAGAAGAAGAAGAAGAAGAAGAAGAAGAAGAAGAAGAAGAAGAAGAAGAAGAAGAAGAAGAAGAAGAAGAAGAAGAAGAAGAAGAAGAAGAAGAAGAAGAAGAAGAGGAGGAGATGGAAGAAAAGGAAGAAGTTAATTTCAAAGTTAATAAATCAAGTAACATCAGTAATAGGTCAGCAACTTACGCTCTAACTGTCCGACCTGTCCAAGTCTGTGCGCACAGCACCCGAGAGATGAAATGAAGTGCCCTCCTGTCTCACTTACGATGAAGATTCTAGCTCTAGACAAATTGTTGCAGCAACTACTTGGTGAGACGCAAAATTAAGAACTGCGTCGAATCGTTAAGTTTTGTCTTCAAATCGGCCAAATATCGAGTCGAGCCACTGTTTTCTCGAAGAAAAAAGAAACAACGTCACAAATCAGAGAACGTTTCGTGTGTCTAAGTACTACGCCTCCATCTTCCTATTGTTGCACCGTCTTGAGAATGCTGTCTTGCAAAGGATGAGCAAACAGAGACCCAGGTATTCTTCTCCCAAATATGCCGCGCTTGTTTTTCAAAGGTAGAAGATCGAGGACTACTTTTTGTTTCCCCCAAACAGTGGCCTTCTTTAGTTTTTCTTCTAGCCTACCCTAGTAGCCTGTGTGAACGGTGTGCGTGTGCGTGTGTGTGTGTCTCATGAATGCAGACAGGCTTTGGGCAGGTGGGGAGGCTTATTATAACAACGGCCATTTTCTCTTGCCCCGTGTCCGGGTATGGATCGTGACGTAGAGACCTTATTATTATGCTTTTGTTACGATGACCGACCAGGCAGTAAGAAAAGGGACTGTTCCCTTCCTGCTCGTACTATATTTAGGGTGTCTGGAAACTCCTACCATCCTCACCCACTCCCATGAGAGATCTAACCCTCCCCCCCTCCCCCTACCTTTCCATTAAAAAAAAAATTAAATATGTTGTTGTGGTAAAGGGTGAAGTTGGGGTGGAATGTGTCGGAATGTGTCGGGGTGGAAGGGGTGGGGGT